ACGCCCGGCCGCACCCAACCTTTCCAGTCACCGGGTGTCCTGGTGTTCTCCGGCGGCTCCTGCAATCAGTGGATGACACACAGACACCGGGGGGACAACCTGCGGGGCTCTCTCCAGAGAAGACACAACGCCTAAGATGGCTGGACGGGAAGTGGCATCCCCGCGGCTGCGCCCGCCCTCTCCCAACATCTGCACGCCTCATTGGACGGCGGAGGCAGCCGAGCAACTTTTCTTACTGGCCATCGGGTCACGTGCCCGCCTCCCAGTGCTTAAATGACAGAAAAGACATCCTCTGGCGTGCACTGTGGCGCCAAATCGCAAATCTGAGCGCAAGCCTTCCTGGGGTCTAGTCTGGCCGTGACATTTCCCCAAACTCTTCTGGCTTTACAAACAGGAGAGGGGCGAAACTCTGTTTTTACATGGAACTAAAAATAGGTAGAAGCCTATTCTCTAACAAGACAAAGATGCCCGCTGAGGTCTATTTGCACGCGTGAGAAATGGCCCAGGAAAGGGTGAGTCTGGGGTGAGTTACGTCCACTGGGCTCAGCATCTGACGTCCCCTCCCCTTTTGCTACAGGTAGATGGCTGTCACCGCCGTCTCTGTGCCTGGCAATTTACACATTCTTCTGAAAGTCTCTCTGAAACACACCGCACCACTATTGACTTCACACAGTCATTTCTATGGCAAAACATTTTGGGAACGAAGAGACACAGAGTCATTCGAAACATCAAAGATTCTTAAGGAATTGTAAGGGTTGGGCAGGTCCCAATGGAGCTCCAGGACACTCAAGACATAAACCTGGAAAACTCCATGGATGACTTCTAGGGCGGTCATTCCTGCTTTGGGGACCGTCAGCTTGACTAAGCTCACAAAGAAAGGAAGCCTGGAGGGAGGAGATTAGATCTGAAAGGCTGCTCTGGGTGGTGCGGGCATTGTAGGAGACCAGGGAAGAAGCAATGGAAAGACAAGAGATTCTTGCAGTGAGTCAGGTGGAGGATGCGCAGGCTTGGAAGAAGGTCCGGAGAGCTGGCAGACAGGTATTTTGAGTGATCTTTTAGGACGACTGGAGTGGAGAAGGCAAAGCTGTGAGACTTGAGACTGCAGCCAGCAAGCTGATTTAGATAGCATCTGTAGATTTTAAGAATTTTATTTTGGGGCTGGAGAGATGGCTCAGAGGTTAAGAGCACTGGCTGCTCTTCCAGAGGTCCTGAGTTCAATTCCCAGCACCGACATGGTGGCTCACAACCATCTATAATGAGATCTGGTGCCCTCTTCTGGCCTGCAGACATATGTAAGCAGAACACTGTATGCATGATAAATCTTTAAAGAAAAAGAAAAAAAGAATTTTATTTTTAAAAAATTTCTTTGGATGTCTGTGTGCCTGCCACATATGTGCAGGTGCCCATAGAGGCCAGAATAGGGTGCTGGATCCCCGGAGATGGAGGTCCAAGCTGCTGAGTGTAGGTGCCAGTAGAGAATTTGGGTACTTGGCAAAATCAGGACTGCATTCTAAACCACCGGGGAGACAGGTCTCCAGCTCCCTACATTTATATTTCACACCCCCATCCAGCTCTCTCTCCTTCGCATTTATAAAAGCTTCATTTACTATGCACTGTCAAATTAGCAGGGCAGTTGTGTCCTGCTCTGTCTTCTTTTCCCTCTATTCCTGTCTCTAATGTTTCCTTTTTATTTTCCTTTCACAGGCTTGTTGGGTTTTCAAAGTTTCTGGTGTCAGTCTCCTAATGGCTGGGACTGCTCTAGGTTATCTGATCCTATTTCTTTAATAAAATCCTCTACTTTTAATAAAATTACCTTCTCTCACTCTCATGTTGCTACTACCCCCTTGTATTTACTTTTTCCTTGTCTGCTGTTTGTCTTCAACAGAGGAATAATCACCATCTGTGTTTATTTATCTTTTCCTTTCTTCTCATACCTAATGTAACTGGTACACTTGTGCAAAAAGAAGTTATAATATTCTTCCATTTCCTAAAATGATTGGCATTTGAGGGATGATAAATTTGTGGGGGTTTTTTCCTAGATAGTCTTTTATTTTAATGTGTGGTCATAGTGGACCTACCCATGGGTAGTTAGTATTTTTGCTGACTACTATTTCCCATTTAGCATGGTAATCCAAACATTATAGAGCAGAGCTTTTGTTTTGTTCTGTTTTTTTTTTTGGTTTTTCTTGACAGGGTTTCTCTGTGTAGTTTTGGAGCCTGCCCTGGAACTCACTCTGTAGACAAGGCTGGCCTTGAACTCACAGAGATCCACCTGTTACTGCCTCCCCAGTGCTGGGATTAAAGGCCTGCACCACCACTGCCCAGCTTACAGGGCAGAGTTAAACAAAACTTCAACCCTGCTACAACCTGAAAATTGCAAACAGTTCCATTTGAAAAACACAATGTGATTAAACACACACACACACACACACACACACACACACACACACACACACACACACGATGATTTAACCCAAAATTTAAAAAAAGCTTTAATGCAAAACTATAGTAAACATGAAAAACCAAGACAACACAATGCCACCAAAATACTAATCCCAAATCAAGTGAATTAGATAAAATTTTAGACAATAAAATCAAAATAATTATTTTATGCACACACACACAAGCACACACATATAAAGAAGCTACAAATGCCTTACAAATTCCAACAGAACTTAAACACAAGTCAAGGACAACAACAGACAAAGGGGAAATCCCGTGGCTTTTGGGCCTCACTCGATGGAAACTTATAAAGAGGTCTGTCATCATTGACACTGTGATTTCATTCAGCAATTGTATAGCTTTTGGCCTGAATGCCCCCACACCACTGGGCTCCTAAGAATTTCACTGAGGTGGAAGGCTCTTAAATTTTGGTTGGATTTATTTACCATCCTCTGATATGCATATGATATCACCAATGAGTCCAAAATGGTTGCTGTCTCCTACTCACTTGGTCCAATAACATGTCATTAATATAGAGCACAAATGTGATATTTTGGGGAAGAGACAGACAATCACAATCCCTGCTAACTAAGTTATGACACGGGTCTGGAGAATTAATGTATCCTGAGGTAGAGTTGTAAAAGTATACCGCTGGCCATGCCAACTGAAAGCAAATTGCTTCTGGTGACCCCTTTGGACAGGTACCAGGCAAAAAGGAATTTGCTAGATGAATAGTTGCATGTGCCAGGAGATGGATTAGTCTGCTCAAGTAAGGACACCATATCTGGTATGGCAGCTGCAAGCAGCATCACTGCTTGACTGAGTTGTCATTCTCCATAGTCCATCTGTCTTCTGCACTGGGCAGATAGGAGAGATAAAGGGAGATGTGGTGGGAACCACCACCCCTGCATCTTTCAAGCCCTTTATGGTGGCACCAATTTCTGCAGTTCCTCCAGAGATGCGATACTGCTCTTTATTCCCTATTTTCCTTGGTGGAGGAAACTCAAAAGGTGTCCATTTGGCATTTCCAAACAGAATAGCCCTCACTCCACAAGTCAGGGAACTAATGTGAGAATTCTGCCAACTTTAAGTATATCTATCCCAATTACACCCTGGGAGTGGGGAAATAACTACAAGATAAGTTTGGGGACTCACTGACTGGACCTACTATGAGTTGGACTTCAACCAAAACTCCAGTAATAACCTGGCCTCTAGGGGCCCCTACTTTAACAGGGGAGGGGGGATCACAATGTTTCATGGCATCTCCTGGAACCAGCATTACTTCTAAACTAGTACCCAACAGACCCTGGAGAGTCTGATTGGTTCCTTTCCCCCAGAGTACAGTTATCCTTGTAAGAGGCTGTAGTTCCCTCCCAGGAAGGACTGAAGAAAGGCTAATAGCAAAACTTTTAGGTATTTTATCAAGGTCCTTTCTCAGGGGGACCTGGCCACCCCTTCATCCAAGTGACTCTAGGTCTGCTCAAATTTGGAAATTGATTCACAGGCTGAGACTCCCTTTTGCCACGATCCAATGTAACCTTTCTTTCATTTGTTAAGATTTTTTTTTATATATATAGATCAAATTCTGTAGGCTTTTTATCTGGTTCGTGCCTAGAAACATCATGATTCATTAACTAGGGTCAAAGGTCCATAGAGTCATGGGGCACAGTGGTTCTCAACCTGTGGGTCATGACTCCTTTGGGAGTTGAATGACCCTTCCACAGGGGTCACATATCAGATATCCTGCATATCAGATATTTACATTATGATTCATAACAGTGGCAAAATTACAGTTATGAAGTAACATCAGAACTTACGGTTGGGAGTCTCCACAATGTGAGGAACTGTACTAAAGGGTCACAGCACTTGGAAGGCTGAGAACCACTGGGTAAGGTCACTATAGACATTGCTTTGTCTGTACTGCCCCCATTATGATCACTATGATCACCTTGCCTTTGTGACTCAATGCTGCTACCTGGTCCCCGCTGCCTCGGTGCCCAGTTAAACCCATTGCATTTAATTCATCAAATTGAACAGCAGCATCTAAACCCCTAAAGTCTAGCACAAGAAAAGGGGTGGCAACAAAGCTCTGCAAATGTGCTGGTGCCTCTCTCACCAGTGTGTGTGTGTGTGTGTGTGTGTGTGTGTGTGTGTGTGTGTATAGGATTGGTGAAGGGCTTGTCACTTGGGCCCTCCCATTGTGGAAGATTAGGTTTTACACAGTGTATCACTCTAGCATTTCAGTTTCCTTCAGCTTTAAAAATCCCCCCTGGCAATAATACTAACACTTTTGTGTCTTAAAGACTTTAAACCATCTTGGAGAAAAGTAAAATGAGCACCCAAAAGTTTAAAATAGGGGACTGGAGAGATAACTCAACCTGCTCTTCCACAGGACCCAGGTTCAGTTCCCAGCACCCACATGAGCAACTCACGACTCTGTAATCCATTTCCAACGGGACCAGACACTCTCAGGCAGACATGCATGCAGGCAAAACACCAATGCACACAAATAAAAATAGTAAAAAATAGAAAATGTAGTGGATTTCCAAACTCATGTGTGTTCACCTATTGCCATATTGATAACATTAAAGAATTTGTTCAATTTCTTGGAAGCTAAAACATAATAACTTTCAAAAAGTTTAAAACAAAAGGGATCCAGGAAGCAGGGGTGGTGGGTTAAGGGTAGGAGCTGAGGTGGATGTGGGAGGGGAGTGGGGGTAAGGGCACTGTCCACTATCCATAAAATTGTTGAATGAAAATCACAGTGCCAGTGATGAGAGACTTCTTTGTAAGGACACAGAATATGCAGCTATTATCAGTGGTGCTGTTTGCATTCCCCAATTTCGATGGGCAAGACGCTGTTGGTGATGACAACACACTCAGCTATAGCACATGGGAAATTGGGTTGAGAAGGAGCTGGTAACCTGCCTCCTTGCTGACAGGCCTGCCCAGTGCAGACAGTGCCATGTGGTCTAAGGAAAAGAATTGTTGGCAGCAGTACTCCTCAGTGTGCACCAAGTGTTATTACACCAACATGCATGCCAGGTGATCTGTGCCCCCTAGAACAGCGGTGTTGTGATTGTCACCTATGGAACAAACTGCATTTAAAACTCCATCTAAGTCGGGTGGTGGTGGTACACACCTTTAATCCCAGCCCTTGGGAGGCAGAGACAGGGGGATCTCTGTGAGTTTGGGGCCAGTCTGGTCTACAGATCGAGTTCCAGGACAGCCAAGGCTACACAGAGAAACCCTGTCTCGAAAAGCCAGATAGATAGATAGATAGATAGATAGATAGATAGATAGATAGATAGATAGATCTCCATCTATAGGAAAGAACTCACAGTGCTGTGTGGCAGGAGCCCATCCAAGGCTTGGAAGACAGTAGGTTCCAGTGAGGAAGCAATGGCTATCATTTTGTAAAAATGTGACATGCCTGTCAAATGGCCTTCTACAAATTGGTGTTTATAACCAGAAATATCAGGTTTCTGCCTCTGTCATGCAGGGAAACTTCTTTGTGATGAGAAGTTACTACAGAGATTCATTGCTGGTCAAGCTCTTGAGAAGTGACTGTTGTTGTGGCCTAGTATCCTGACTGTCAGCTGTACCCTGATTATGAGTCTGCATCAAGGAAAATAATAAAGATATCTGTGTCCCCACCTCCAACATTACACTCTGATCAGTGAACATCAGAAGAGGAGAAGCAGAAAGAATACAAGAGCCTAGCTGGGTGTCGCTGGGTATCGTGGTGCATGCCTTTAACCCTAGCACTCAAGAGGCAGAGATGGGCAGATCTCTGTGAATTCGAGGCCAACCTGGTCTACACAGTGAGTTCCAGGGCAGCCAGAGCTACATAGTGAGACCCTGTCTTGAAAAAAACAAAAACAAAAAAACAAAAACGAAGAGCCAGCATGTAAGAGGCCTGGAGCCTTGTGTGACTATTGCCTGCAAATGGAAATCTTTCTCCCTAAGTAGGGGAAGGAGACTCATAAGAATGATTCTCATGAACCTTACAAGACCCAGGAAAGTCAGAAAGTTACCCAACTCCGAGGAAGCCATCGTCAGGGAAGGAAGACCCGGGTTCTGAGAAACCTGCAAGTTGTGGAAGGAGCAGCAAGCCGCAGCTCTCCTGAACTTCGTCTCTGCTGGGTGGGCTTTGCAGTGATGCAGGAGAATTTGCATCACCTGTGCTCCTGTAGTCACCACCGGAAGTTCTTGGGTTCACCGAGGTAGACTTGGGTGGGGTTGTTTTGGTTTCCTCTCTACACCCTATCTGGTTTGAATGGAGGTTTGTAATGTCTCCCCAGGAAGCAACCACACAATTACTGACATCAGCATCTGTCTCCTACCATGGAGGACCTCATGATTTCCAACACCAAGGGTCAACATCCTCTCTTCATTCTGCTGTGTTAACCACCCTCTCCACCCACCTCCAAAGCCAGTAGAGCACTGGTTCTCAACCTTCCTAATGCTGCAACCCTGTAATACAGTCCCTCATGTTGTGGTGACCCCCAACCATAAAATTATGTTCGTTGCTATTTCATAACTGTAACTTTGCTACTGTTAGGATCATAACGTAAATATCTGATATGCAGGATGTCTAGTATGTGACCCCTGTGAAAAGGTCATTCAACCCCCAAAAGGGGTCAAGACCTACAAGTTGAACTGCTATGCTAAAGCCTCTTATAGTTACTAAACCCCCACAAACCTAGTGTGGATCAATAGCTTGAACAGTGTTTACTGGAGACATAGGAGTTCTGCTGGCATCTGAAATGAGGGCTGTCTTGGCAGACTGGGAACTCGAACCTCTGGAGTCAGAACTATGTGCAGGTAGTGTGATGTTTCAATGAAGCTGTGAAGACACCAGCTTGTCTGCAAAGGTGGAGCACTAGTTGTAGGTGTGAAAACAGCAGACAATAGGTGACAGAAAAATAATGGGTCAGTGCAAAGTTTGAGTTTGGTCTCCTATGTTTAATACACATGATGGTTTGAAAAGAATGACCCCTTTAGACTCACATGTTTGAATGCTTAGTCACCAGGAAGTGGTACTATTTGCAAAGATTTGAAGAATTAAGAGGTATGGCCTTGTTTGAGGAAGTATGTCACTAGGGGTGGGCTTTGAAGTTTCAAAAGCTCATGCCAAGCCCAGAGTGTAGGAAGCCGGTTCCTGCATTATCCATTACAATAATAGGTGCCTGAAGACACCAAGATGTAAATTACTTCAACAGGCGCTGGGTAATTTCCATTCCTTTGATCTCTGCCTATCCCGTGGCTCATTTTGGCCTGAGGAGCTGAAGCCATTCATAGGGTAACACGTCCCAGGCGGCTGGCCAGCCTTTATAAGGGATGGTGTTCTTGGTTCAATGTCTCCGCTCTGGGAAGCTTATGCTCTCTCACTCTCAAGATGCATTAAAGCTTGTCTGCAGAAGGATCCGAGTGTCCTGCGTATGATTTCTTGCTGGCGAGAAATACAGAGCGGGCGCGGGACACCAGAGTCTTTCTCTCTCTGCCTAGGGAACAGGATATAAAACTCTCATCTACTACCCAGCACCATGTCTGCCTGCATGCTGCCATGCTCCCTGCCATGCTGATAATGGAGTAACCTCGAAACTGTGAGCAAGCCCATAATTAAATGCTTTCTTTTGTAAGAATTGCTTTGGCCATGGTGTCTCTTTACAGCAATAGGACAGTGACTATGACAATACATGACACTAACACCCTACTTCTGGAGTCATTCCCACATCAAGCCCCTCACCTCATCATTGGATATTGATATGTTGTGGAATATTAACTAGGCAAAGATGTATTACATTAATGGTGTAGAATATGACTTTAACTGTGTAAAGGTGTGTTACTTTTGTTTATGCAGTGTTTGTTTAATTATGTAAAGATGTGTTGCATTTGTTTCACCTGGCCTGCCTAAGGCACCTGATTGGTCTAATAAAGAGCTGAATGGCCAATACCTAGGCAGCAGAAAGGGACAGGTGGGGCTGGCAGGAAAAGAGAATAAATAGGAGGAGAAATCTAGCCTCAGGAGAAGAAGGAAGGATGAGAAGAAGAAAGAGAATGTAAGCGATGCCAGCCAAACATAAAGAAGCAGTGAAAGTAAGATACAGAGAAAAAAGAAAGGTGATAAGTTAAAGAGAAACTGGTATTTAAGTTAAAAGAGCTAGCCAGAAATGTGCCTAAGCTAGGCTGAGTATTCAAAACTAATAATCAGTCTCTGTCATGTTTTGGGAGCTGGTTGGTGGCCTAAAAGAAAAAGCCTGGTACAATGATACTCATCACTTTCAACCTTATCCAAGTATCCTCAAGCCAAAGTTTGTCCTCTGCATTGTGTTTTCCTTCCAGCAATGCCAAAGCTTTGGCAATCAGGCTTCTACCTCCATGTCCCATTGTTAAATACAACCCAATGGGCTTGTTCTGGTGTCCCACACTTTTAATTGAAGCATTCAGGAGGCAGAGGCAGGTGGATCTCTGTGAGATGGAGGCCTTCATGAGCCAGGCAACACAAACTAAATAAACTTGTAAACACGACCTGATCTATAATTAAAATATATTTATCTTGCTTAGTAATAAAAAAAAGTTTTCATTGGCTCTTCTAAAAGCAATTTAAAAATAGTTCAACCATAAAAGGACACTGTATCTACCAGGCTTCTCTAGAGAAATGGGATTAAGTCAGCTTTAAAGTATCAACAACAGCAGAATGACCAGAGAGCTGGGAACTTGGTCATTCCCAGGCCCTTAAGACTGAAGCTGCAGCACCTAGGATCGGTGGGTGGGTGGGTGGACAGGCTTCAGCAGTCCCAATCTGGAGAAGAGAGCCTAGAAGCTTCCTGAACCACCGTGTTTCCCTAACCACAATGAAAGTTTGGAAACACTAGGTGTGATACCTGTGCAGTAAACATCATTAGCAATAGAGCAAATGTACTAGGTGGCAAGAGGGATAGACAAGTGAGCAAAAAAGCAAGATGCTCTTCTTCTGCCCTACCCTTTTTATCTGGGCCAGCAGGGACCGCCCATGAGCGGGACGGGTCTTCCCACATCAACATAGAAAATCAGAACAGTTCTTCCAGGGAGGGTGCCCACTCAGGTATTTCTAATCTGTGACAAGCTGACATTAAAACCAACCATCACAGACACACGGAAAGTAATTCCAGAAAATAATCACCAAAGAGAAAAAAATAAAGATACACAAAACAGAAGCAACACAAAATCAATAAAAAATATCCATTAAAGGGATTCATTGATAGCCCAATGGGCAAAGCACTTTGCAGCACAAGGACCTAAGTTTGAATCATTAACACTCATGTAAAGTTGGGAATGACTTCAACCATGTCCATGCACCCAGCACTATGGGGAGTGGACAGAGGTGAACTGTTGGGTTTTGCCTGCTGCCAGATTAGCTCATTGTTCAGTAAGAGACACTTTCCAAAGAGAATAAGTCAGAGAGCCATAAAGCAGGTCACCCACTGTTATTACTACTCCAGCCTCAGTATGAACATGGACACACATGCACATATGTGTTCATTCATGAGCACACACGTACAAACATACAGCACATGGTCTTACATAACACACATACATTTTAAAATGGTTTTTGCTCATGAAAAAAAGTACAGGCAAAGTGCCCAGAACCAGACATATGAAAGCAATGCAAACATTCCAATAGTCTCAAAAAGTCATCTTTAATTAACCACAATTATTTGAAAGGGGGCAGTTATGCATATTTGCATGTTACAAGTTAATGTTAGTTCACCACATGAATCTGACACAATTTACAAGCATGTACCTGATTTGATGACCAAAAAGACACCACCCATTAAACTATAGATTGCTGTGTTAAGAAACCTTACAAAACCATTTCATGAAGGTGTGCTTTCTTTCTACGGCTGTTTGGTTTTGCCTTTCAAATGTGGGTCCTTACTGGTCTTCATCCCATGGGTATAAGCTGACATCCAGTCTCATGCACTTGGCTTATGCTTATTTTGTAAAGCAAAATTCAGAAATAAAAGTCCAGAATTAGCTACTGGGCTGAAGAGATTGCTCAATGGTTAAGAGCACTAACTATTCTTACAAAGGACTTGTGCTCAGATCCCAGTATCTACATGACTGCTCACAACCATCTGTAACTCCAGTTCCAGAGCTTCCAAGGCCCTCTTCATGGTAGCACAGGCACTACACACATGTGGCACACATTCATACATGCAGGCAAAATACTAATACACATGAAATAATACAAATAAGCCTAAATTTTTTGAAGTCTGTATTTAAAGTTATTCTATGGTAGGTTCTTTCATGTCTGTGAAAGGGATGGTAGTAATGGAAGGCTTTCCAATATAGCCCACAAGCAAAGAGTTTTTATTTGTGCATATTGGTAATTTGCCTGCATGTATTTCTGTGTACCACAAGCATACATGGGCCACTCCAGTCAAAAAAGGACACTGAATCCCTCGGAGCTGGAGTTAGACACAGTTGTAGGCTTCCATGTGGTTGCTGGGACTCAAACCTAGGACCTCTGGAAGAACAGCTAGTGCTCTTAACTGCAGAGCCATCTTTCTAGTCCCCTCTAGCTGACTTACACATATTTGGGGGAACCAGGGAAGAAGTGAAGACTTTCTACATTGCAAATGTGCTTAAGATTTCTCTGTAGTCTCATCTTTGTCTTGTCCTTTCCATGATGTGGGACTACAAAAAAGATATAAACAACACCTGCATTCATAGGGCTTTTCTCTAGTGTGAATTTGTTCATGGACTTGAAGAAAAATTTTAATACATAAACCATTTCCATGGTATTTTTTCTAAAGGGTTTCCCTGATTGTGCCCATTTCAAGTTTTTTTGTTTGTTTGTTTTTTTGTTTTTTGTTTTTTTTTTAAAGAAATCAGTATGATAGGAGCTTTCAGACATTGGTAGCAAAAAAAAAAAAAATCCCACTTTTTTCCAGGGTGAGTTTATTTATGTAAAAACAACCCAACCATTTAAAAAATGTAAACATTGCTTACAAGTGTAGGGATTTATGACAGTAAGAATGACTATCTTCGTAAAAGATATTAAGTAAAGGCTTTCCCATACTGTTTACATGCATGGGGTTTCTATTCAGTGTTGGGTTCTTTCATGCTTTTTAAGGTGACTAAGAGATCTAAAGCCTTTCCCACATGTCTTACATTCATGGGGTTTCTCTCCACTGTGCATCAATGCATGGTACTGAAGAGAACTCAAATGAGTGAATGTTTTACCACATTGCTTACATACACAAGGTTTCTCTCCAGTGTGAATCATTTTGTGTTTCCGCAAAGCACTCTCAGAACCCAAAACTTTCTCACATTGTGAACAAACATATGGTTTTTCTCCACTATGTATCTTTTCATGACTTCGAAAGGTGGTAGAACAGATAAATCCCTTCCCACATTGTTTGCACATATAGGGTTTGACGCCACTGTGACTTATTTCATGTCTTCTTAATTGATTTAAAGACAAGAAGGCTTTTGCACACTGTTTACACACATAGGGCTTCTCACCGGTGTGAATTCTCTCATGTATTTGTAGGGAACCAAAACGAGTGAAGTTTTTCCCACATTGCTTACAAACATAGGGATTCACACCACTGTGAATTACTTTATGCTTTTGGAATTGAGTCCAAAGCATGAAGGCATTCCCACACTCCTTACATACATAAGGTTTTTCCCCAGTGTGAGTTCGTTCATGGACTTGAAGATAAGTAGAAGTAATGAACCCTTTCCCACATTGCTTACATACAAAGGGTTTCTCTCCTGTGTGGATTCTGGTATGTCTTTGAAGGGAAGCAGAACGGGAAAAACTTTTGCCACACTGATTACATGCATAGGGCTTCTCGCCCGTGTGGATTATCTTATGTCTTAAAAGAGAATTGAAACGGGTGAAGGTTTTCCCACACAACTGACACTTATGGGAACTTGTGCCAGTGTGGATTTTTTCATGTCTCAGAAGAGAGCTGGAATGAGCAAAGGTTTTCCCACATTGCTTACATGTATAGGGCTTCTCGCCAGTGTGGATCCTTTCATGTACTTGTAGGGAACAGGGAAAAGGGAAGGCTTTCCCACACTGCTTACATACAAAGGGTTTCTTTGCATGGTAATGTTTGTCATGCCCCTTCAAGGACCCGAGAGAAGAAAAAGTTTTCCCACACAGCTTACATTCATGGCGTTTTTCTTTAGCAGGAGTACTTTCATGATTTTGACCAAGTCTTAAGTCTTCATTAGTCTGCTTATCTCTATTCGATTTTTCCGCAGTGGCAGTGTCGGAACTTGTAAGCTTCTGCAAAGATGGGGGAGAGCTGGAAGTGTTCTCAAATTCCTTATTATTATGCAACTCTGGTCCATGTTCCTGAACTTCATTTGATTTCTGCCCTGGCCTAGGTTTTAGCCTCACACTTAAAGCTAAATGGCCAATGACTACGTTTACAAACCCATTTCTTTTACATATATGTACTCCTGGATAAAATTTATGGTTCACAGTGCCCTCTGTAGAGAAGTTACAGATTTCTGCACACTCATGGTCTTCTTTACAGTCATGGAGTTTCTCCACCAGGTGGCATCTGTAAGAAATGAAAAGTGAACTGCTAAGGGTTTGATTATTAATGATTTACCAGTAGAAATACTGGTTTTATGTATCATAATAACTTTGAACATGTTTTGACTGAATGCCATGCAGCATGATTTAAGGATAGCTATAATAAAAGCAATGGTATAATAAACATAATGAGAGGTTATATTGTTTCCATGTTTGGAAAACATTGAATGCATGTGTCACATTTAAATACACATTTCAATACTGAATTTTGTGCACAATTTGATGCATAATACTGATGATGCAAATCATGTTGCATTTTGAACTACTTGAATGTTGCTGTAGTTTGAATGAAAATAATTCCCATAGGCTCATAGGGAGTAGGTGCCGCCATGTTGGAGGAAGCGTCTCACTGGGGATGGGTTTTGAGGTTTCAGATGCTCAATTCAGGTCCAGTGTGGCATCCTCTCTTTCTGCTGCCTGTGGATCCAGGTGTAGAAATTTCAGCTACTTCTCCAGCACCATGTCTACCTGCACGAAGCCATGCTTCCCACCATGATGATTATGGATTAAACCTCTGAACCTGTAAGCCGGACCCAATTAAATTTTTTTCTTTATAAGTTGCCATGGTTATCGTGTTTCTTCACAGCAATAGAAGCCCTAAGACAATTGTCTATATTGAGTTATCTTTTGGTTTTACTTATTTATTTGTTTATTTTTTTTTTGAGACAGGGTTTCTCTGTGTAATAGTCCTGGCTGTCCTGGAACTCACTCTGTAGTCCAGGCTGGCTTCAAACTCATAGAGATCCACCTGCCTCTGCCTCCCAAGTGCTGGGATTAAAGGTGTGCGCCGCCACCAACTATAAGTGTTATCTCAACTATCAGTTCCAGTCTAAAAGAGTAATCTTTTTGCTTCATCTGCACCTCACACCATGATTGCAGATAAACTGATATTTCATTTTTCGTAATGTATATGGTGTAAAGTTTGTACATGTCAAGTATGATAAAGTTCATTTCTGGCCTCCTGGTACTCCCGTTGTTTCCAATGCTGGAGTATCTGAGATGTTCTTACTGATGATATGAAACATATTAGCCGTTTTGGAGACAATTTCCTGAGATATATTTGTATCTTTTACCTCTTTGTAAAATGTCCTATGGCACCATAAACTGTGAGGAACCTGAATTACCTTAGTTTTCTCCCAGAATTTTGATATTCGTTTTCAATCTTTTGGTGTTTCCTTATGTTTCCTAAAATACAGATCAAGATGAATCATTATGAGTCATGATATTACAGCAAAAAACATTAGCAGATTCCAACTAAATTCATGGTATAAAGTAACCCCATACCACAAATTCACCTCCTGTCCCCATTTTTTTCATGGCAGAGTGTGAACACAGTCTCCCACTACCACATACGACTTTTCTACATTTGAGGAAATGGCAGGAGTCAGCACATGACAAATGGGATGGATGAGCTTCATTCTGAGAAAGCCACTTTTCCTGATCAAGGTGTCTCTCCTGCCAGGCAAGTGTCCCCAGATGCTCCTTTTACTATATTTCAGTTCATGTAGCAGCAATGATGAACTTTGTTTGATTGACCTATTATGAGAATGATGATGTCTTTACCTATAGAGACCATATTTCTCAGTATTTCCTTCATCACATCTTTGTAGAGCTCCTTTTGGGATGGATCCAGAATAGCCCACTCCTCCATGGTAAAGTGCACAGCCACATCCTCAAAGGTCACTGACTCCTAAAAGCACACACATAGATTTCCACAAGGTTGAACCTCACAGTACCAGCTATCTAGACTTCATAAGTTATTGTGGCACTATGTTCCATATATTTCCATATATGTTCAAGTTGTCTTGGTGACTGTTAATACAAAATGCGATTCTCTTATAGAGTAATTCTGACAGTAGATTGGAGCAATTGGATAAAGAACAGCAGAATAGGACCACCTTTGCCCTCATAAGTTGTGCTGACTTCTCTTTGTCCACTAGGTCACTGTGACAACTTTTATAACAAATTCTGGTTACCTAATGTCCTAAAGAAAATCCAGTATTAGCTGTCCCAAGACTACATATTCTTACAGATGCTGAAGGAAAAATTCCATTTCTCTTGGTATCTGGGACCCCTGATTAAGAGGGACTTGTCCTTATATAACTATAAAAATGATATTGCTTTCCTACACAGTTTATGCCACCCATATGTGACTTTGATATCCCTGCTTTCTCTCAGAATCCATATTACATTTCCATGTGATTATCAGAGAGAAACTATTTGGTTAGACACAGTATATTTTCTGAGTGATGAATCTTTAAGAAGCTGGTTCAGTGGTGTGGTGTTTTAAACAAGATTGGTCCCCCATAGGCTCATATATTTGATTGCTTAGTAATTAGGGAGTGACTTGAGGATTAGAATGATTGGGAGGTGTGGCCTTATTAGAGTAGGTGTGGCCTTGGTTGAAAGAAATGTGTTCTGGGGTGGACTTTGAGGTTTCAAAAGCCCCTGCCAGACCCAGCGCTCTCTCCCCCGCCTCTCTCTCTCTCTCTCTCTCTCTCTCTCTCTCTCTCTCTCTCTCTCCTCTCTCTCTCCCTCCCCCATGCTCCCCAGCCTACCAATCAGGATGTAGCATTTAGCTACTGCTTCAGCTCCATGTGTGCCACCATGCTTCCTACCATGATGAAAATGGACTAAACTTCTGAAACTGTAAGCAAACCCCCCCATTACATGTTTTCTTTTAGAAGAACTGCTATGGTCATGGTGTTTCATCACAGAACTAGATCAGTGTCTACGACAAGTGGATAGTATTTAATCACACTTCTTACTTGTTAGGGACTTGAATATTTCCTCTGTGATTCACTATAAACAACATTTAGAAGTGTGTATCGGCTTTCTCATGGAGCATTTTAAATAATAATCTATTAAGACTTGTGATGTGGGCTGGAAAGATGACTCAGATGTTAAGAGCACTGGGTGCTCTTCCAGAGGTCCTGAGTTCAATTCCCAGCACCCACTGGTGGCTCACAACTATCCGTAATGAGATCTGGTGTCCTCTGCTGGCCTGCAAACATACGTGCAGGCAGAACACTGTGGACAATAAATAAATAAATAAATATTTTTTAAAAAAAGACCTGTGATATAAGGCCAGAGAGATGGCTCAGCAGTTCAAGTTACTGGCTGCTCTTCCAGGGGACCTGAATTTGATTCCCAGCACCCACTAGGCAGCTCACAACTGTGAAACTCCAGTTCCAAGGAACCCGACCCTCTCCTGGTCTCTGCAGGCACCAAGCACACACCTGGGTATAAATGCAGGCAAAATAACCATATACATAAAATAAAACAAAATAACCATTTTAACTTTTTTTAAAAAGATTTTATTTATTTATTATGTATACAACATTCTGCTTCCATGTATATCTGCACACCAGAAGAGGGCACCAGATCTCATAATGGATGGTTGGGAGCCACCATATGGTTGCTGGGAATTGAACTCAGGACCTCTGGAAGAGCAGTCAGTGCTCTTAACCTCTGAGCCATCTCTCCAGCCCCTTAACTTTTTTTTTAAAGACCTGATGCTGCATATTTATTTTCAACTTGACAGGATCAATACTCGTCCTATGTATGCCTGGGATTATCTTGGTTACATTTTAGGCAGAAGGACTTACCCTGTATGTGGGATGATCACCATTCACTGGGCTGGGTAAAGTGAATTGAGAGGACAGAGGTAGCTAAGCATTGGAATTTTTGTCCTCTGCTTCCTGACTGCAGATACAGTGTGAGCAACTGCCTCCAACTCTTGTCAAACTTCCCCAAACACGATAGACTAAAACCTTGAACTAAATCCAAAACAAGCCCCTGCTCTCTTAAATTCCCTTCTCTGGAATTTTGTCATGGCAACAATACAAGAACTTGTATAGGACAGATTAAGAGTAATTCATTTTCTAATAAATTAGTATTGTCTTTTTTATTGGGAACACAAATGAAGAATGAAAAATAGCACATGTTCTTAGAAACAGCTCTTACCACCAGGTGACCCCCTCATAGACATGCATGAAATTCTATAGTTACTAAAAGTGTGATGGTGCCAGGCAAAGGTGGCACACGTCTTTAATCCTAGCACTCAGGAGACAGAGGCAGGCGGATCTCTGCTGACTCAAGGCTGGCCCAGTCTACAGAGCAAGTTCCAGGACAGCCAGGGCTACACGGAGAAACCTTATCTCAAAAAAAAAAAAAAAAAAAAAGCAAGAAAAAAAGACATCTTGCTTACTTAGGGTCAAAATGATAAAATGACATAAGGCCTATCATTTCCAGCACAGGCCTTTCATAGCTGAGTCAAACACTGCCCCTCAGAAATCCACCTTACTTTGTTTACAAAAGAAGATTATTTAAGATAGCAAATATCTTACTTCAAAAATAAAATAAAATAAAAAGGCCTACAGCACCCATTTTCCCAGTGGATATCCCATCCAAGTATTAACCAGGCTAAACCCTGCTTGACTTCCAAGAACAGACAAGACCAGGTGTGTTCAGGGTTGTCTTACATTTTTTTAAGATTTTATTTATTTATTATGTATACAACATTCTGCATCCATTTTATCTGCACACCAGAAGAGGGTACCAGATCTCATAATGGATGGTTGTGAGCCACCATATGGTTGCTGGGAATTGAACTCAGGACCTCTGGAAGAGCAGTCAGTGCTCTTAACCTCTGAGCCATCTCTCCAGCCCCTGTCTTACATTTTAAAGATAAAATTTAGCTTACAATTTCATCTTTAAGGTATGAGAACTATTGCTTGAATGTCTGTGCTTTCTCCACTATAAAAACCAAAACCACAGAGGCAGAGGCAGGTGGATCTCTGTGAGTTCGAGACCAGCCTGGTCTACAAGAGCTAGTTCCAGGACAGCCTCCAAAGCCACAGAGAAACCCTGTCTTGAAAAACCAAAAAACAAAAAACAAAAAAATCCACAAATTAAAAGGAGGGGTGTTTTTACTCCTCCCATGCAAGTTTCCCAATTTCTTATCCTAGCCTTCATAGGAGTTAAAAGAAAAACATATATAAACATGTATGTATGTATGTATGTATGTATATTAAAACCCTGTTACTGCTTGTAGATCAGGGTAGGCTCCGACTGTTGAAGATATGAATTTTTTAGACTATTTATATGAAAATCATGTCTTTAAAAAGGACAGCTTTTGGCTGGGCTCCTGGCACATACCTTTAATACTAGCACTGGAGAGGCAGAGAGAAATTCAAGTCTAGCCTGATAGCAAGTTCCAGGCCAGCAGAATGCAGAGTTACACCGTGAAACTCAAAAAAAAAAATCAAGTATGCAGCTGGACAGATGACTCAAAAGTTTAAAAGGACTGTAATGAGTCTTTTTCTGTCCCAGCTCCCAAATAATGACACAGAAAATTTTTATTAATTATGAAAGCTCAGCCTAGTCAGGCTTTCTCCAAACTAGCTCTTACAACTTAAATTAACCCATTTATATTCATCAATGTTCTATCTGGCATTACCTCTCTTTTATTTTGCACCTCCTGTTTTTTCTACTTGTCTCCTAGTGTCTTCTGTGCCCCTAGATTCTCCTCCTCTTACTCTCTCTTCTCAGAAATCTCACCTATACCTCCGACATAGCTATTGGCCATTCAGCTCTTTATTAAACCAATCAGAAGGCACTTTGGCAAAGACACATCTTCACAGTGTACAAATATTCTGCAACAAAGGACTGTCTTTTCTCTCTTCCAGAGGACCTAGGTTTGATTCCTAGCACCCAAATGTCTCATAACGGTGGCTTGTAACTGCCTATAACTATAGTTTCTGGGGATCCAATGCCCTCTGCCAGAACCAAACAGATACATTAAAACATCTATACCCACAAAATAATAAAATAGTTTTATTTTTAAATTCAAATTAGTAGCCTAGGGCTTAAGATGGCTCAGAGGTTAAGAGCACTGGCTGCTTTTCCAGAGGTCCAGAGTTCAGTTCACGGCAACCACATGGTGGCTCACAACCATCTGTAATGAGATCTGGTGCCCTCTTATGTAGGACAGGGGTACATGCAGACAGAACACTGTATACATAATAAATACATCAATCTTAAAAAAAAAAACTTGGTAGTCTAGCTTTGGACCCACAAATTATAGTTCTAAATAAATGAAGTAAAATGTTTCTGTTTAAATACATACATTTTATGTATGGCTACATGAATATAAATATTGTCATGGTTGCATTTTTATATAGTGTGTGCAAAAACAGAATGGCTCATAAGATGAATAAGTTAAATTAATCCAAACATTTCCTAGTTCATACTGTAGCTAGAATTTTAAAACTGAACATTCTAGATTCTGGCAGTCATGAAAAACTAAGCTTGGCCACTGGTCCTGATACAAAAGAACAGCAGTTCTATATATCAATGTGGCTCTGCTTGGGGGAACAAATAAAAGAGTCTGGTGATATTAAATCTGGGTTTGGGAAGATAACATGAGCTTCTATTAAAAGGAAGAAGTTCAGAGTAAAGAGGTATACACAAATCTGTCATGTCTCTTTTCTGTGATCATTACCTCAGTTCTTAGTCTGTAAGGTGGCCAAAGATTCCTATTGGTGGGACTGGAGTGATGGCTTGGTGCTCTTCCAGAGGATGGGTGTTTGCTTCCCAGCACCCATATGTGAGCTCACAACTGTCTCTAACTCCAGTTCCAGGGGAATCCATTCCCCTTCTGGTTTCCAAGGGCACCAGTATATGTGTACATACATATAGTTGGTCAAGAAGCTAATACACATAAAATAAAAATAAATATTAAAAATGACTCATTGTTTCCTAGAATTAACTGGTCCTCGGGTGGGGCCTCATGTGGGAATGGTTCAAGGATGCTCTGCAGCTCCGGAAATCTAAGACAGCTATGGTGTAAAGACAATGGCCATCTCTGTGCTTTCAACCTTCCCAAAGGAAAAGAGATGGATACCAAACTAGATGGAAATACTAGAGTTTTCTTCTGCTTTCTGTTGTCTTACAGGCCAAATTTAAAAGTTTGTCCTTTTTAAACAAAAATACTGTCTAACTGTCTGTTATAAGAGAACATAAATCTTTTGGTTTTTTGTTTGTTTTGAGACAGGGTTTCTCCGTGGAGTCCTGGCTGTCGTGAAACTTGTACTGTAGACCAGGCTGGCCTCAAACTCGAAGAGATCCACCTGCCTCTACTTTTCAAGTGGTGGGATTAAAGGTGTTCACCACCACTGCCTGACTGAAGACTTAAATCTTTAACACATTTGTTAAAGTTGGTTGAAAAAGATTAATTAATTACTTAATTAATTAATCATGTATCTTAAAGATGATTAACATGTTTCAGAGGCATGTCAGATAGAGCTTCTAGGTTTTCATTAAAATATGATGTTATGGGGCCTGGAGCAATGACTTATCAATTAAGAGCACTGGTCTTACAGAGAACCTGAGCTCATTTCCTAGCATTGACATCAGGTGGCTCACAACCGTCACGGCTCTATAGGCACCTGGGAGAATGGGGCCAGTAAATGAGAGCTACTAAAGTCTCATGTAATAGCCAACTTTATTCGGAGCATCGACAGTTTATACTCTAAGGGTTAAGAGAAGTCACAGGAATAAAGTGCACAACCCAAGGGCAAGCCACACGTGGAAAAATTGTATTTTTCCATAGAGGCATATAGACAAGTAATGGTAGCCAGTTGTAATGAAAAAATCTATAGTAAACTCATTCCTGTCTGCTACACCTGGGAAGGGCACAAAAACATATTTGAAGAACAATTTTGTTGTTTTGAAGAAACTGAGAGGTCACAAGACTTGTTTTTTGGAGTTTTCTCACAAACTCTCAGAAATCTCCTCACAGACTGCATTCTAGAACAGTGTTCTGACAACAACCACCTGTAACTCTTCTAGCATCAATGGGCACCTACAGTCACAAGTGCACATTTACACTAATAAATTAAAATAAATATTGAAAGGTTCAGGCATTATGCTGGCCTGCCCCTGTTACCTGGTGGAATCCACTCAGGCAATACCCTGGTCAGCCCAGGGGTCCATGGGAAAGAAGTCTGCACGCAGGTGCAGAAGCCCCTTTAAAACATAGGCCCCTGCCCCTTTACGCTCTCTCTCTCTTCCCCCCCCCCCCCCCTCTCTCTCTCTCTCGCTCTCTGTGCTCTCTGTTTCCCCGCTCTGTCTCTCTATGGCGACCGGCCATGGCGGTCAGCCATTTACCCCTGTTCCTCTTCTTAGTCTCCCCATTCTGCCGGGCCTTATAATAAACTTATAGTCTTATGTCTGTCTCAGCAATTTCTCTTTTCTTCTTTTTAAACAAAACAATAACAAATATATCTTTAAAAATAAGAAGTTAATTTTTAAGAAAACGTTTTCTAAATTCTGTAAGACAAAGAGGAATCAAAGGTATTCAAAGTTATAGCAATATGATATAATTTTGGAAGAAGACTGTTAAATCGTAAAGGGACTGTTGCTGGGTAGTGGTGGTGCACACCTTTAATTCCAACACTGGAGAGGCAGAAGCAGGCAGATATCTTGAGTTCGAGGTAAGCCTGGTCTATATAGTGAGTTCCAGGACAGCCAGGGCTACACAGAGAAACTCTGTCTCAAAAAAATTAAATAAATACAGTCTAATATATTCAGGGAGTGTTTATCCATACAAGAACAAACCTGACTGATACCCTTAGCTCTGGGAAATGATATATTGATCTGGACACACTGGCTGCTGAGAGAAACCAGAAAAAAGTTTTCTAAATTCCCACAGTTAACAGACTTAACAGTTAACACCTGAACTGGTTGCGACACAAAACACTCACCTAGGCTGATTTTCCTTATGTTTGTCTCTTTCCTCCAGGCATCTGATCACTGACCCACAGCTAGCCTGCGCCAACAAATAACAGTCCTTGACTGTAACCCTGAAGACAGGCTGACCTCAGAGAAAGCTGCTCTAACCTAGTTTAATAACTGTGGCATCCTCTAGCACATCAGGCTCTCCTCTGTTTTGGGCACTCTTGTTTAAGAACAGCCTAACCGTAGGGAAGCTTGTGGGCCCAACACTTAGGGCTTTCTCCTCTCTCGATGCTTCATTCACATACTGTCAGGGCTTACTTCTATCAGTACTTTGCATTTTCAAGCAATATTTTGAAACAAACCAAATACAATAACAATTATGACAGAGACCAGCCCCCATCCACCTCATGCATATGGATCTTCCTTTCTGCATGCCTGACCATGTTAGGAGGACTTGGGATTCACTGTGAGTCCTAAGAATCCGTGGCCTACAGATACAGGTCAGGGAATTTGGAGGGAGAATTCCCTTGAATCTGTGTCCCGGTTAGCTTTAAATGTCAACTTGACACAGTCTACAGTTATCCGAGAAGAGACTCTCAACTGAGAAATTATCTGAATCAAATTAGAATGTGACCTCTCTGTGGAGGATTGTCCAGATTCATTGTAGGTCCCAGCCCTCTGTGAAAGGCACCTTCCCTAGGCTGATGGTCCTGGGCAGTACAAGGAAGCTAGTTGTTACTCATGAGTTTATTAATGAGCCAGCAAGTCGCATTCCTCCGTGATTTCTGCTTCAAGTTCTTGTTTATGACTCTCTTTGAAATTCCTTCAGTGATGGACTGTGACCTGGAAGGATGAGCCAAATAAAGCCTTTCCTCCCCTATGCTGCTTCTGGTCAGAGTATTTTATTCCAGCAACAGAATGAAACCAGAACTGTGAAAGGCTCCTTGGAAAACCCGATGCCACTGAGATAAAAGAGACATGGTATGATGAAAAGAGAATGGCTGCTCACAACTAATTTATGCTGTAGGGGGACAATTTTTACCTGATTTACTCGAATTTTAAAGCAGAAAACCCTAGAAAGGGCAAACAGCCACCTTCTGCCAGCACACCAGTAGGAACAAAGTCACTCCATCAATAAACAACTCCTGAAAACATACCACATTTTATCAAAAACACCAGACACACGGGCTTATCAGCAACAATATATGCAACCCCCTCACCTGAACCTATAGAAGGAGCACCCTAAGACCAAAGTGTGCACGACAGAAATTACAGTGTCAGCTGTCAAGAGCCGGGGAACAACCACAGGCAGGGACCTTGCCTTTGTCCTAGGTTTCAGCGCTGTGTCTCCTGCACGCACGGATTGATTGATGAGTCTTACTCGGTCCCCAACAGACCTTTCTTTGTCCCCGCGTTAGCTCAATGCCGGGACTTCAGAAAAGCCTTGTGGGCTCCCAAGCCTTTCTAACACTTAACCAGTCCGAAACCTGCACATTGGTTTCTTTTGGGGTGAAATATTATTATATGATTTAATATGAGTGGTTAAGATTGGAATAAAAGAGCTGCGATTTATTGTCCAGGGTCTGCGAGTAAGCAAAATCGGTCTTACTTGGAAAATCGCAGCCAAAAAAAAAAAAAAGAAAAGAAAAGAAAAGAAAGAAAAGAAAAGAAAAAAAAGAAAGAAAAAGAATGTATAGGTTATTTACTAAATCGTGACAGTTTAAAAAGACACCTCATGTCCCTGTATGTTTGTGACATAACACGCACAGGACTCGGGGTTCATCACACCTCCTTTCTCCTCTGGTGTACGATCTCCCCACCAGCAAACCTAGTCTCCACCAGCCTCTGCCGACACCGCCCAGTCTGCGGAGCAAAGCCGCGCTCGCCCGCCCGCCGGCGGCACTGAGCGCTCAGCATGAGACAGGATAGCAGCTCTGGCTGCTGGCCCAGCTCCACCCAGAAGGATCCCCACCCAAGGCTCATCCCAGCCAGACTAGACTGGCTAGACTCATCCGCAGACTAGAGCTCACCCCTCTCCCACACCCAATCGCACGAACCATTTCCAGCGACACGGTGCAGTGGTATCTCTTGTGGTTCCTGTTGTCAGTGGAGGGGAGGCCAAAAGGGATGGGAAAAACCTGGAGAATCCCTCCACAGTCGTAAAGTCCCAGATCCCAAATATGGCAGGGACCAAAAGGGACGTCTCAGTGACATGTAGCAGCCATCTTCCTAATGTCTGGTTTCTCACTGGATATGCATCCCGAAACAACTTGCCTGGTTGGCCACCAAGCCACAGACCCGCCTCCTAAAGCTTAAGTGACAGGAGGAGCACACCCACCTAGCAGAGATTCAAATCAGGAATTCTAGGCACAAGCCTGCCCTGCCAGTCCAGAGCTGCCCTGGTTCCACTAGGGGAAAGGGACATAAGCACAGCCTGTCCTGGCTTTCCTCACCGGGCGTTAGCTCAGCGGGCAATTCTTGCTTCCTCCTTTTCCGAGGGGGTTATAGATGTACTCAGGGAATTCCAGACTCTGCGTCTATGGGAACACCCCATTTCATCATAGAAGACAAAGGCCGACCAGGTCTTGTTGGAATAAGAGAAAGAGAAAAGACTGATGTTATCATACTTCAGGAGTTGAATGACACAAATTTCTCTACCTACCCATATTCAGCAACATAGAAAACATACATACAAAGGAACACATTTATTGAAAAATATAGGGAAAGGGAAATTTATAGACAGAAAGAGGCCACATATACTAGTAAAGTTCCCATACTTTAACAGTGACCAAGAGCTTAGCCTGACCCAATGACTTCTGATGTCTTCTACAAACACAATGTTACCTGACTCCAAATAGGCAGCCTTGAGAGATAACAGGTACTACACAATTCAGCCCATGCCCTCAGATATACATGAGGGTCAGATTCAAGAGGGAATGAGTCTGACACTGAATCAGATTGATTCTGGTGGCTGTCACACAACTTGAGGTCATAGTCTATCTGAAGCCAAGTTCAGCCACCCAACCTTGTGAAGACAGTTAAAACATGCAAATTAATAGGAAAAAGCAGGGAAAGGGAGATTTATGCAATATGGCTACATTGGGAAGAGGAACAAAAAGATCCAGGGACTCTCCATCAGTCCATCTTGGGATTGTTAAAGTGGGATGGAAGTTTAAATAAAGGGCGATGACACATTAAGCAGTCCAGGACGAGGCATGATCGCACCCATCACTTAACTGTCAGTATCTCTGGGAGGTTGTGAGTCTTTCTTGGAGAGGAGAAGAGCCCCAATTCTGGATGACCCAGCTTTTCTTCTCCCAGCACAAGATGGTGGGGGGTGGGGAATGTTTGTTTTGTTTTGTTTTGTTTTGTTTTGAGACGGATTTGTGTGTGTGTGTGTGTGTGTGTGTGTGTGTGTGTGTGTGTGTTTGTAGCTTTGGAGCCTGTCCTGGAACTTGCTCTGAAGAGCAGGCTGGCCTTGAACTCAAGATCCACCTGCCTCACCTCCTGAGTGCTGGGATTAAAGGCTGGGGTTCACTGTTTTAATACTGTTAAAGTTAAAGCATCTCTTTAGAAAATATTCACTTCTTCCAGGTTAGTGACAGGGACAAAAGATTTAATGTCAATCAGAATGGTGGGGCCTGAAAGGAAATAACTTGGGACTGCTCACAAAAAGCAAAGATATCTATTTAAGGCTTTGGGTAAAGAAGAGGCGATCTTGCACTTGAAGGAACAAGTCTCGTTAATGTGTGACTTAGAAGACATAAGGGAAGTGAGGGGTATGCCATAAGGGAAGTGAGGGGTATGCCATAAGGGAAGTGACGGGTATGCCATGTTGGTTTAGGATCTGGTTGTCTGAGGAGCTTGGTAATTTCATTTGTGGTGGTGTTAGGTTTTGAGGGGTTAATCAGACCACATTTTCTTGCAGTATTTCAGAAATTGGCAGGATCCCTACTGAGAATATGTCTGTGACTCTCTGACTGGTTCTCTGGTACCCAGATGCTAGGAAAGAAGTGCTAAGTCCTAAAGACAAAGCAACTCCCTCCATCCCGGTTCTCAGAGCTGATTCTGAGGTACCTGGTGCTTCAAGGGGTAGTTTAACAGATTAACTGAGTTTGTAAACAAACTCCCTAGGTGTCCGGATTAGAGAATGACAAGCCAAGGAATTTAGAGACAGGCCATGTCATACTCTCTCTGGCACTAAATCGTGTGGTCTCAAGGAACAATCTTTGTTTCAGCATTAAAGGTAAAGAGAGGCAGCTACAGAGGGGTGTGACCTCAGCCATATCTAGCCATACCTAACAATATGGATCTTATATAAATGTCTGTGAGATGACTAAATCCCCACTCAGTTGCTATAATAGACTTTCACCAGGGCTGGGCATTTAGCTCAGTGGTAGAGCACTTGCAGACACAAGTGCAAGGCTCTGGGTTCCCTCCTCACCTGGGAGTTGGGAGAGAGACAAAATAACAAAAAGGCACTGGAGACATGGCTCAGCAGTTAAGAGCACTGTCTGTCTTTCCAGAGGACCTGAGTTCAATTCCCAGCACCCACATGGCAGATTGCAACTGTCTGCAACACCCTCACACAGACATGCATGCAGGCAAAACACCAATGCACATAAAATAAAGTAAAATAGTTAAGAGATTTCTACTCAGGACTTGGAAGGCAGAGGCAGACAGATCTCTGGTGAGTTCCAAGCCAACCTGGTCAACAGAGTGAGTTCCAGGACAGCCAGGGCTGTTATACAGAGAAACCCTGTCTTGAAAAACAAAAAACAAACAAAACAAGACTTTCACCCCTTTCAGCCATGTGTGAGGCCAAAAATACAACTCTCACTCCAAAGGGGATAAGAGATAATTTATTCTGGAGCTGAGAGACCATGACCTGCAAATATATTCATGTTACTCCAGCAGCATGTTCCAATGTGGTAAGAGTATCTGTGATGTTTTACAGTTACAAAACAAAGACAAGAGACTTGAAATATAGCTGTGGAAACATTGTATAGGTAGATTACAGAAAATGGGGCATTTGTTTGTTTGTTTGTTTTTTTCGAGACAGGGTTTCTCTGTGTAGCTTTGGAGCCTATCCTGGCACTCGCTCTGGAGACCAGGCTGGCTTTGAACTCACAGAGATCCGCCTGCCTCTGCCTCCCGAGTGCTGGGATTAAAGGTGTGTGCCACCAACGCCCGGCTAGGGCACTTCTACTACATATCTCAGACTACCTGACCACATGCTTAGCCTTCTGGTTGCTAGAAGCAAGTAGTGGGCTAAATTAATATCCTTAAAAAGATTTTACCTAGCTGGAGAGATGGCTCAGTGGTTAAGGGCACTGGCTGCTCTTCCAGAGGTCCTGAGTTCAATTCCCAGCACCCACACGGAAGCTCACAACTGTCTGTAACTCCAACTCCAGGAGTTCTGACACCTTCACACAGATATACAAGTAGGCAAAATGCCAATGAACATAAAATAAAAATTAATTAAAAAAAAGATTTTACCTGATAACCACAAGGATATTAGGTCCGACACGGAAGTGGACAAAAAGTGGTTAGCAAGAGGGTTTAAAGACAGCCAAAGCCAAATTATAATTAAGCTTTTGTATGGGCAGTGTTCCAACCTCTGCAGTCATTGAAGCTGTAATCACCTTTATAGAACATTCAACGTTGTATGGCTTCTTCTTTTGAATTGAAAAAAATATTTTTGAGGCAGGGCCTCTCTCTACGTCCCTTGCTGGTCTGAATTTGCTATGTAGAGTAGGCTGGCCTCTAATTCAGAGATCCACTTACCGGTCCATCCACAATGATAGGATTCAAGGCATTCACCACCAGACCCAGAAAATTATATATGTACATAGTGTGTGCCTGTGTTTCTGAATGTGGGTGTGTGCGCCTGTGTGGGGATCTGCAGAGGCCCAAAGGGGTATCAAAGCCCCTGGAGCCGGAGCTACAGTTGTTTGTGAGCAGGCTGATGTGGGGGCTTGGATCTGAACTTGGGTCCTCTGAAAGAACAGAAAGTGTTCTTAACCGCTGAGCCATCTGTCCAGCTCACTCCTCCCTCCCTTCTCCCTCTCTTCCTCCCTCCCTCCCTCCCTCCTCTTTCCTTCCTTCCTTCCTTCCTTCCTTCCTTCCTTCCTTCCTTCCTTCCTTCCTCACATTCTCTCTTTCCTTTTCCTCCTCCTCCTTTTTTTTGAGGTTGTGGGTGCTTTCCTTCACAAATGCAATGAAATCACGGAGCCAGCTGTGACTGCAACATTGTATACCTAAAAACATTTTCAAAAAACAAAAAACATTTTCTACTTCTGCCTTTTTTTTTGGTAAGTTCATTTGTAGCCTGTGTGCCACTGGCCCATCAGCTACCTTTGGCAGAATTATAAGGTGCCTGTATTAAAAGATGAATCAAGAGGAAGCAAAGGAAATGTTTGAACATACTCAGTTAAGCAGGCTCGGGAGGCAGAGGCAGGCGCATCTCTGTGAGTTCGAGGCCAGCCTGGTCTACAGAGTGTGTGCCTGGACAGCCTCCAAAAACCATAGAGAAACCCTGTCTCAAACACCCCCCAGCCCCCCCCCAAAAAAAGAAAGAAAAGAAATTCAAGGTCACATACATCCTCAAATCCAAGCGCCAGACTTAATGTTGAAATTGAGCCCCAGAGCAGATCACTGGAGAATGGTCAAGGACACACAAGAAAGTAACTGGGGTGAGCATGCAATCCTCTGCCATGAACAACCCCAGACTTGAAGACTGCTCAAATCTTCAACTTTGCCAAAGGCTCTTCCGTAGGTCACCTTAAGACTTTCACCTAAATGTTCACTTACAGAAACCCTTTATTCAAGGAACTGCCTATCCTAAAAGAGTCTTTCTTTAAGTCTGATTGTCACAGATTTTTCTTCTTGCTCTTAAGTTACCTGATGACCCCACTGACTCAGCCCTTAAGTCTGTTACCGCCTCAGTAGGCCAGAAGCTCCGTCTACCCCCTGACTAACCGCTTCATTTGCCTGCTCATGCTCTGCAGCTCCTCACAGTCAGCACTTCTCGGGTTAACAGTTCTGATCGGCTGGAAGCCGTGTGCTTCCAGGAGGTAGCTGAGCAAGAAATTCCAAGGAACGGTTAATTGCCACCCCCACTGAAGGGTCACAGTGTGCCCCTATTGTGGATTGAGGTCCCTCGGTCCTCTGCCCACTGCTCAGTGACCTGCTTCGCACCAACATGGGGTCATGAAAAAAGGATGTTGACTCCAAATCTTTTAGTTAAATGCTAGGATGCTCCCCCATTCCACTTCTACCTATGAAACAGAGAAAGCCCTAAGACACTTCATACGGATCTAAAAATGGGGCAGAAGCCTATTGTTTGACAATGTAAAGATGGCAGTTGTTTCTAGGTAAATATGCCAGCATGGAAAAGGGCACAACTGGTAGAAACTCTCCATTCTGCTCAGCTTCTAGTTCTCCTTTTCCCCAGCTGGTGGTCGTCCGAGAAGTTTCTGGGCCTGGGGATTTACATATTCTGCTTACCCCCTTTGAAAGCATCTCTTGAATCCACCCCCCCCACTACTGACTCATGTGCTCATTTGGGTTTGAGACAGAGCTTAGAGGAAGATAACCTTGAACCCCTGTCTTAATCCTCTTGCCTCCACTCCTTGTTTCTGTCATTTCTGTAGTCACGCTTAACAGTCCAAATAAAGTGTCATTAGGTAGCTCTGGGACCCTGAAGACACACCTGCAAAACTCCATGGAGCAGTTCTAGGACAACTGGAATGTGTAGCAGGGAGGGCTGTGTAGGCATCAGAGCCGCTAGTGTAAGGAACCAGCTGCTGTGTGTAACAGAATCCTTGAAGCAAGGGGAAGACCAGGTTTGAAAGGCAGTCTGGGAGAGGAAGCAGGCATTGTTCAGGGTCAATGCAGAAACAGGGGACAGGCAAGAGCCTCTTGAAACAAGCAGGTGACAGAGTAGGGGAGCCTGCTGGAGGGGGGCCATTAGATCTTGAAGGCTCTTTTATATTGATAGTGGATGATGTAAGGGGAGTTTGGGGCCAGAAATAAACAGAAGAGTACCTACCCTCTGGCACAGGGTGATAGCGAATCTTCATTAGTTTGAGTGCATCACCATAGAAACACACCTCTTGGTCTATGAAGGGTGTTTTCAGGGAGACCCACCCTGAAGATGGGTGGCACCATTTCAAGCACTGGGATTCAGGACTAAATGAATGGGTGAGGGGTGGGTGCACGCTATGAGCACCAATCTGACTATAGAGGCAATATGGTCAACCAGTTGTCTCATTTCCATTCACACAGCTAAGGCTGCTCTTCTCCCCATGTTTTCCTTCCATGGGGGACTACATGCCTTCTTAAATCTTGATTGAAAACACAGGCTTCCTTCCTTAAATTGCTTTCCACTTTTGTTTTATCTTTTGTTGTTGTTGTTTTGTTTTTCCATACAGGGTTTCTCTGCATGACACTGGCTGCCCTGGAACTCACTCTATAGATCAAACTGGCCTTGAACTCCACAAGCCAACAGCGTGTATGTTTTCAAATATACAGACTCTAATATGGTAGTGGTGGCACATACCTTTAATCCCAGCACTTGCGAGGCAGAGAGGCAGGCGGATCTCTGTGAGTTTAAGGCCAGCCTGTTTTACAGAGTGACTTCCAGGTCAGACTCCAAAGCTACAGAGAAACCCTGTCTCAAAAACACCAAAAAAACCCCAAAACACAACAAAAGAATATAGACTCTAGATTTTAGCAAGCGAGAGATGAAAATATAAGTTGATGTGGAGCCAGGTGTGGTGGCGCATACCTTTGATCTCAGCATTTGGAAGGCAGAGGCAGGCAGATTTCTGAGTTCAAGGCCAGCCTGGTCTACAGATTGGGGTCCAGGACAGCCAGGGTTATACAAAGAAACCCTGTCTCAAAGAACAAAAAGTCTATTTGAGAGGAGAAGTGATCATTGGGCAGAAGGGAGAGGAAAAAAGATTTAAAAATGGGCACGAAGAGTCAAAGTACCTAGTATACATGTGTCAAAATATCATGACAAAACCCATTACTTTTCACAATAATATATGCCATTTTTCTAAATTTAAGGAAGAAATTACTTCCCCCAATTTGGACCTAATGTAAACATTCTGAAAATGACTAATCTAAGGTTTAATGTTCACTAGATTGAGTGTAATTTCTTCCTATATTTACCCTTTCCTGTGGGTTTATCAGAACATAACCAAATGGTTAATTGTGAACATCTGTATTTGTGAAGAGCAGTAAATAGTATATTGGAGGAAATACTGTAGTGTTGGTATAGTAACTCAGAAAAGTAAAAACTGGACCAGAATAATGGTGGTCAAAGCAAAGTCAAATCTGCTGCTGTGAAGACATGTGTCCCAGACATACACCACTGGGCACCGCTCCTTAATAACTATGACAAGAGAAAAGGACACTCTATAAGGCTGGCTGTAAAACTGACAAACATTTTGAATTATGAAAACGAACACAGTGCCCCCTCTTCCCTAATGTGAGTAGTAATTCTCATGAATTCAGATTTCCTTCACTGCATTATTTGAGGCCTTCCACATAACAACTCCTTTGATTGCCAAATACAGAATTATACTCACATCTTAGTATGCCCAACACAGAAGCCTCTCCCTATATCTAACCAACCCCACAAACCCCTGCAAGTTAAACGCCAATCCCGCCAGCATGTCTAGGAGTGTTCTTACTGACGAGACACTTGTTTACTGTGTATGGACAGACTCAGTACAATTTATTACATGGTACTCATAGTCTTTGGCAAGAGGCACTATGCCAACATATCTCTTAGTATAATGACTAGAGGAGAAATTACAATAAAAATCAATGATACAACCACATAAGCATCAAAACAACATTTATATGAGGAAAAATCATTAATTATATATGTACAATAAAAATGGCTGGTGACATGAAAAAAACTAGGAAAGCTTGTAAATGTGATGTGATCTATGATTATAGAGTGTCATTAATACCTGCCTTCTAAGTAGACTAAGAATGAACACTTGTTAATGTACAAGCAGTCTGAAAATAGTTTAAGGGACATGGAGACCAGAAATGTTGGGAAAAAACACCAGGCAGAGAGAAAGTTAAGAAATAAAAACATATAAAAGTGGGTTTTGTTCATGGAAGAGAATGACAGTCTACAAAAACTGGTTAAGAACTTGCCATTAAATTAAAAGGGAAAATCTCAATAGTCACAAGGTCATTTTTTCCATGATACATTAATCTTAAGGGCTTGAAAACAAGCTTTTTAAAAATACCTCCTGGAATTAAGTAACTATCAACTCATCAGCAAAGTGAAAATAAAAGGAAAAAAAATTACCTGACTTAATGCAAAAAAAGATTTCACCGATTAAACTTGTATGCACTATTGCTTTAAGAAACCTTAAGCCGTGCGTTGGTGATGCACACCTTTAATCCCAGCACTCATGAGGCAAAGGCAGGCAGACAGCTGGATCTCTGTGAGTTCTAGGCCAGCCTGGTCTACAGAGTGAGTGCCAGGATAGGCTCCAAAGCTAAACAGAGAAACCCTGTCTCGAAAAACCAAAAAATAAAAAAAAAAGAAAAAAGAAAGAAAGAAAAGAAACCTTAATAAATTAATGTAATGATAGTGCACCTTTTCTTTTCTTTTTGGCTTCCGTCTTCTGTATTTAAACTACTCTCCACTTCACATATTCTGTTTAAAGATAATTTTCCAGGGGTTGGAGAAATGGCTCAGTGGTTAAAAGTGTGTAATAGTCTTGCAGAGAACTGGATTCAGTTCCCAGCACCTACATGGGGCAGCTCATGACTGCCTGTAATTCCAGCCTGGAGTATCTGACACCTCCTTCTGGTCTCTGCAGGCACTACAAGAATGTGCACAAATTCACATACAGACACAGACACATGCATATGCATATACTTTAAAAAATAAAGAGATCATTTTTTTTCTAGAGCAAATGTGAAGCATGGAGTCCAAAAGTGTTCTTTTAAGAATGAACTACTGGTGATGGATGTGGAAGCAGACATCATTCACCCAAACATTTTAAAGGTTGGAACAGGAAGATAATTGGACTAAGGCCAGCCTGGGTTACATGGCAAGACTGTCTCTTAAAAAATAGAAACAAATCCCTAATAAATTCCAATAAATACAATGTATTTACAAAGTTTTCTTCAGATTTTGGACTTTCTAAAAGAAAAATTTGTATCCAGTCCTTCACGTTATTGACACTTATGGAAATTAGCATATGAGAAATTTTCAAAGGACTATGCCACTATTTGCTACTACTGAGTTTCTTGTGCTTTGACAAGGAAAGATTTTTAATGGGGAAGCAATTGCACATGTGTCCACATTTGGACATCTCTTCTAGTCAAACATACAAACATGTTTTTTTTTTTTCTTTTTTTCTTGAAACAGTCTTACTATCTAGCCCTGGGTGGCTGGGAAATCAGTATGTAGACCAGGTTGGCCTTGAATTCTGAGATTCCCTGCCTCTGCCTCTCAAGTTTTGGAACTAAAGGTATGCTAAGATCATGCCTAGCCCAAACATGTTCTTTCTTAATCCATGAATAGGACCAAGAGGGGTTCTACATGCTTAACCTTTATAGTTCTCTCTGAATGCAGTCTTAGGTTATGAAGTCTTTTCAAGTTCTGTGTTCAAGGTTACTGTCTGGTGAGTTCTTCTATGTCTGTGAAAAGAACTATAATAACTGAAGGCTTTCCCACATTCTGTACATACAAAGGGTTTCTCTCCAGTGTGGCTTCTTTCATGTGACTTGACATAACGAAAAGAACGGAAGGGTTTCCCACACTGGGAACATATAAAGGGCTTCTCTCCAGTGTGGATTCTCTCATGGATTTTGAGGTAACTAGGGGAACGAAATGCTTTTCCACATTGCACACATGCATAAGGCTTCACTGTAGTGTGAGCTTTCTCATGTCTTCTCCATGATATGCGACTGCAGAAGGCTTTCCCACATTGCTTACATAAATAGGGTTTTTCTCCAGTGTGAGTCTGTTTATGACTGTGAAAGGTACTGAACCAACTGAAGCTTTTCCCACATTGCTTACAAACATAGGGATTCATGCCACTGTGAATTACTTCATGTCTCCTTAAGTGGTACAAAGAAAAGAAGGCTTTCCCACATTGCTTACATATATAGGGTTTCTCTCCAGTGTGAGTTCGTTCATGTATTTGAACCTGACGAGAAGACCTGAAGGCTTTCCCACATTGTTTACATAGATAGGGCTTCTCTCCGGTATGAATCAATTCATGGTATTGAAGGGAACCGAGAAAAGTGAAAGCTTTCCCACACTCCTTGCACACATAAGGTTTCTCTCCAGTGTGAGTTCGTTTATGAATTTGAACTTGTTTAGGAGACCTAAAGGTTTTCCCACACTGCTTACATACGTAGGGTTTCTCTCCGCTATGCATCAATTCATGGTATTTAACGGAACTGTGACTAGTAAAGGCTTTACCACATTGCTTACATACACATTCTCCAGAATGAATGATTTTATGTGTCCGAAAAGCACTTTCACAACTGAAAACTTTCTCACATTGCAAACACACGAAGAGTTGCTCTCCTGTGTGAGTCCGTTCATGTTTACGAAAGGCACCTGAAGAAGCGAAAGCCTTACCGCACTTTGTACATTTGTAGGGTTTCTCCCCACTGTGCATCATTTCATGGAATCGAAGTGAGCTACGATCAGTGAAGGCTTTCCCACACTGCTTACACACATAGGGCTTTTCTCCAGTGTGAATTCTCTCATGTGTTAGAAGGGAACTGGAACGGGCAAAGGTTTTCCCACACTGTTTACACATGTAGGGCTTCTCACCAGTGTGAATTCTTTCATGTATTTGTAAGGAACTAGGAAAGGGGAAGGCTTTCCCACACTGCTTACAAACGTAAGACTTTTCTCGGCTGTGATATTCTTCATGCCTTCTAAAAGAACTGGAAGAAGTGAATACTTTCCCACATTGCTTACACTCATATTGTTTTTCTCCAGTAGAAGTCTTTTCATTGTTTTGACTGGATATGAGACACCTAACTTCTTCATTACAGTGACTAGTTTCAGGTTTCTCCCCAGTGTGGATTCTTTTATGCTTCTGAAAGGTTGTGGAAGAACTGGAGGTACCCCCAAATTCCTTATGTTTATATAACTCTTTTCCATATTCCTGAGTGCCATATGGTTTGTGTCCTGGGTGAAGATGCGGAGGGACATTTAGAGATAAATGGCCAATAACCACTTCTCCATACACATGGCTTTCATATGTTGGAACTCCTGGATGTGATTTCTGGTTCCCAACATACTCTGGAATCCAGTTAAAGACTTCTGTACACTGACGACCTTCTGTATATTCACAGAGTCTCTCCAACAACTGGCTACTGCAAAAATAAATAAATAAATAAAAGTACATTATTAAAAAATTGTTTATCACAAAAAGTGTTAGTCATATACCCTGTAATGATTTTTTTTTAATGTTTGAATTGAATGTCCTACAATATGGTTTAAGGACATTGACAATTAAAACAAAGGTATCCATGCATAGTTGTGTTACACTGTTTTCTTTACAAGCAAATGCTGAATGTCTACATTACATTTAAATACACTTTCAATACTTAATACTGTATGCATTTTTGATGTACTAGTGACTAAAATAATGTTGGATTCTGACATACTTGTATATCATTTATGAGTTATCTTGACAATTTGTCCTAATTTTTAAATTTTATTTATTATGCATATAACATTCTGCTTCCATGTATATCTGCACACCAGAAGAGGGCGCCAGATCTCATTATTACAGATGGTTGTGAGCCACCATGTGGTTGCTGGGAATTGAACTCAGGACCTCTGGAAGAGCAGTCGGCGCTCTTAACCTCTGAGCCATCTCTCCAGCCCAACAATTTGTCCTATTGTAAAAAGAAATTTATTTTTATTTCATATAGAATCATACCCAAAGTTTGGAGAGAAATCAGTACATTTTAAATAATATTATGTACAGAGTAAAGATAGTATATATGAACCATGATAAAGTATGATTGGTGGCATCATGATGCTCCAGTTGTTACTAGGATGTTCTGATTGCTGAAGTTTAATGTGTAAATAGATTTGCTGAAATTAAAGGCATTTGGAGCTGGACTGATTTGAATCTATCACTTCTTTGTAAAATATGCTAGCATACCAAGAGTCCTGAGAAACACTGCTGCCTCTTATGCTACAAATTACCTTAGTTTTCTCCAGAGATTTTCATATTCATGTTCAATGTTTTGGTGTTCCCATTTGTTTCCTAAAATACAGACCAAGAAAAATGAATTACTGTTACAGGAGGGAAAAAGATTCTAGCTAAAGTATAAATGAGTACACCTGACATATTCACCCACAGAGCTCTTTTTCCATAGTCTAATTCATGCAGTAGGATTGATGAGCAAAAACCACTTATTCTTTCATTGACTAAGTAAGAAAATAATGTCATCTTCACCTATGGAGGCCAGGTTCCTCAAGGTTTCCTGCATCACATCTTTGTAGAGGTCCTTTTGAGATGAATCCAGCATAGCCCACTCTTCCAGGGTGAAGTTCACAGCCACATCCTCAAAGGTCACTGACTCCTAAAAAGAGCCCACATATATTTCCAGGAGAAAGGGTGAGCCTTCCAGTACTGAAGATCTAGGCTTAATTCATAAGAACTTGATATGATGCTACGTTCCACATATATTCAAGTCATGTCCTTATTCCATACATACAGTTTCATATTGTATGCTGATTTTTCATAGAGCACTTCCAACCAGATTGGAGACATGTGGTAAAGCAAAAATTTTATGAATGAGACTACCCCTTGTGCTGAAAATTCTACTGCACAGATCCTCCTAAATTTTTTATAGAGCTTTTGATTACTTAATACCCACAGGAGAGTCAATACTGTTGTGAGACTACCTAATCTTATGCATGCTGGAGAAGATGCTCTATCTTCCCTGTGCTATGGAAACTGCTACTGGGAAAGGTTCCTCTTCAGTCTAACTCTAAAGAATGGTACGGCTGGGCATTGGTGGCGCACGCCTTTGTTCCTAGGACTTGGAAGGCGGAGACAGATGACTCTCTGTGAGCTCTAGTCCAGCTTGATCTACAGAGCTAGTTCTAGAACAGCCGTGGCTACACAGAAAAACCCTGTCTCAAAATAAACAAAATTTTACTTTTAGGATTCTCAACAATAGATAAAATAAAGCCCCAAAGCTCAGAGATTACAGGCACAAGAACAAAAAGAAACAATATTTCTCCCACCTACTTGGTGAGACCAGCAGTTAAGCAGTTTCATGAGTCTACCCATTCGGGGAAAGGCACCCTAACTAGTTACATTAAGGCAAGAATCATATGCCCAAGGACATCTGATGTCATACAAAAATGAACAGGCAGGTGTATAATTTGTCAGAAGAATGGTCCTAAGACTGATACTTAAGAAAAAAAAGAAAAGAAAAAGGATTTAAAACAAAGATGGCGAGATGGCTCCATTAAGTCCAGTACTGTTGGCTAGGAGTGGTGGCGCACACCTTTAATTCCAGCACTCTGGAGGCAGAGGCAGAGGCAGGAGGATTTCTGTGAGTTCAAGGTCAGCCTGGTCTACACTGGGAATTCTAGGACTGCCAAGACTACAAAAAAAGACTCTGCCTTAGGGGAAGAAAAAAAAAAGAGAAAAGAAGGAAGAAGGAAAAAAAGAAGGAAGAAAAGGAAGGGAGGGAGGAAGGAAGGAAGGAGGGAAGGAAGGAAAGGAGGAAGGAAGGAAACCCATAATCCATTGCATTTCCCATCTGGTCCAGTCAGGGGCAAGCATACATCCTGAAGTATTTCCTGCCTGTGTACCTCCCACTCACACGTGATCAAGCACAGCTGGTGCAGAAGGGTCAAACAAACTTGTTTAGGGGAGTGAACACATGTGGCTTGTTATCTCCCATAAACAATAGCCTTTAGCATTTCAGGAACTATCTGTGCTTGGGAAAGAGCTTTGCAGATCAGAGGCATTTTTGTTTCATGGGTCTCTAAAGCATGGTAATTAAAACTTAAAATGTAACTTTGGCTCTCACAGAAAGAGAATCTTAATTGAGAAAATACCTCAACAAAATTTGCCTATAAGCAAGTCTGAGGGCATTTTCTTCATTGATGATTACCATGGTGGGATCCAGCACACTGTGGACAGAGCCACCCTGGGTGGTATAAGAAAGCAGGCTGAGCAAGCCATGATGAAAAAGCCAGTAAGCAGCACTCCATGACCTGTTTCAGGTCCTGCCTCCAGGTTCATGCTTCCACAGAGCTTGAAGGGCTCAAGTAACATGGAGGCTGTATTGTGCCAAGTGAGAGACCTTCATTAGGATCAAGTCCTGCACACTGTCCTGCTAAAAGGAATAGTAGTGGTTCCTCCAAAATGGGCTTAACTTGAGCTCTCACTATTATACTTAAACTTATGGTGCTGTCATAGAACAGGAATTAAAAGTTAAAAATCTGGACTATCTTAATTGTCCTCATAGAACCTTCGTCCAGTAACTGATGGAAGCAGATGTAGAGATCCACAACTAACCACTGGGCTGAGCTCCCAGAGACCAGTCGAAGAGAGGGAGGAGCGATAATATGAGCATAGGGGTCAAGACTGTGATGGGGAAACCAATAAAAACAGCTGGCCTAAGCTAGTGGGAGCTCACTGACTCTGAATAAACAGCTGGGGAACCTGCATAGGACCCAACTGGGCCTCCTGAATGCAGGTGACAGCAGTTTGTGGGCCACTGGCAGTGGGACCAGGATCTATCCCTAATACATGAATTGGCTTTTTGGAGCACATTCCTTATGGTGAGATACCTTGCTCAGCCTAGACACAGGGAGGAGGGCCTTGGCCCTGCCTCAACACTGTGATGGGACAGACTTGGTTGACTCCCTGTAGGAGGCCTTACCCTTTCTGAGGAGCAGATGAGGGGTGGGATGGAGGAAGTAGAAGGGGAGGTAGGGCGAACTGGGATTAGTATGTTAAAAAAAAAAAAGATAATTAAAAAAAAAAGTTAAAAATCTGGGTATGGGCCAGTGAGATGCCTCATTGGGTAAAAACTAAGCACTTGAGTTAGTTCCTGGGAATCTATGTGAGGAGAGAATGAACTCCAGAGAGCTGTCCTCTTACATATACATGCTGTGACACACAGAGCCCCTCCACATGCACAATAAATAATGAATTGCTTTAAAAATTATGAGTGCTCTATATGAGAGTTCACTTATGTTGAGTTAAGGTCTTGCTATGTGTCTTTGGCTGGCCTGAAACTCACTCTGTAGATCAGGCTGGCCTGGAACTCACAGCAATCAACCTGCCTCTGTTTCCCAAGGGCTGGAATTCAACACCCAAATTGTGCAGATTTTAAATTTATCTAAAGCTTAACCAGATGTTACAGAGCCTGCTTTTGTAAGTAATATATGCTTTAAGAGTAGACTATGATTTGTTACTGAACCATACCACACACATGAAGAATTAAAGAATCTTTTAACTTGGTTGATTAAACCAAAAATTAAAGCAGTCTTTAGACTCTAACATATTAACTAATTAACTCTAGTATATTAATCAATTAATTGATTCTAATATGCTAATAATTAATGAAAATATAAAAAAGAGGGAGTTTCTTCACTGTTGACCTATCCTTTCCTTGCTCCAAAGTATTATTTGCCTCAAAGAAGCCTTCCAAATCTTTGTATCTCTTATCCTTCTTGCTGCCCTTGTATATGGCATTCTCTGATGTGTTCCCCTTGCTGCAAAAGAATCCCTATTGCCAAGAAGCTGCATTAACAGCTGACTTGATTTACAGCAGCAAGAAACTAGCTTCCATAAGAAAGAGCTGTTAAGGATACAAGGGTAATTCCTAACAGTGAGGGGTATGGGGACACTTTATAGTGTGTGTTAGAAGAACAAACCTGTACTTCATTTTGCAAAAGGGAATCTGCACATGCACAGTGGTAAGTAGCCCAGAACACACACAGTGTACACACTGCTAACAGTTTCTATGTTCTGAGTTAAAGTTTGATTTAGACGTAATCCAAAGGGTGACTCATGAGGAATTCAAGATTGGGTGGCCTTGATGTAAGAGACAACCCAATACACAAAGAGAGGAGGTGATATGAACAATACCATAACTCTCTGAGCCAACACTGACCTCCTTGCCCACAAGGGCAAGAGTAAACTCCCAAATCACTCACTGACTTTCTTTCCCTGCCCTATATAACCTGCTGGGAAGACAGATCTTTGGGATGTTAATCGGCTGTCTTCTCAGATTCCTGGCTCTCTGAATAAGATATCCTTTTAGGATTCAATTCCTAGCTATGTTCACTGGTTCCTAAAAGTGATGGGTAGCATAGACTTGTTTCCCAGTTCATTTTATCTTCCACTATACACACAAGAGGTTAAAGCAAAGAATCCACAACTCAAAAGCACACAAGTTTCAACCTTATACTAGTGTTGAATAAAGGGCAATATTAACTCGCTCAAAATTCAAAGAGGATAATATTCTACTTAGTGATAAACACACAGGAAAGCAAAATGGATTGTGCACGAGTACACACACACACACACACACACACACACACACACACACACACACACACACACACGCGCATCCACATGGTCCTATGGATGCAGACCCAAAGGAGATGAGGACATACAACAGACCCCAGCGCAGCCACTCTCCTGCCTGTCACTCCTCTGCTCTGCACCTGCACAATGAATTTTAGTGTGAAACAACGGTGTATTATAACCTATCTCTTGGCTTTCCGCAGGCCTCGTCATTCTAGCCACTCAGCTACAAACCACAACTGCTATCACCTCCTTAGTCATGAAAGAAAATTCTAAAACGTTTAAGTAAACCAGTATTTTATTTAAAGAAATTCTACAATAAGGGAAGAAACCAGGCAAAGCAGCTTGCTTTGCTCACAATTACAGAAAGAAACCCTCAATCAGAAAGTTAAATACTGGGGCTGGAGAGATGGCTCAGTGATCAAGAGTACTGGGTGCTCTTGCTGAGGACCAGGGTTCAATTCCCAGAACCTACAAGACAGCTCCACTCTAAGGGGCTAATGCCATATTCTAGACTCCACAACCACCAGCCACTCATGTGGTACACAGACACAGGCAGGCAAAACTTCCATACACATTAATAGAAAAAAAGTTAAATATTAAGCTTATTAAGTACATGCTCGTCCACCAACAGAAATTCAGACATTGCCTGAAAGGGGCTTATGAGACACAAAGATACTCCACTGCACAGGAACTTCTGAGAGTTCTTGCGGTTCTGTGCCAAAATACGAGACAAAGACCACATACTCCATTACACTGCACCCTCATATGAACCACAAATACTTAAGCCTTTATTTACACTATATTCCAAATAGAACAACACTGTAGGTACAAAATCGAGCACATGAAAAGGTTGATTTAGACCCAAATGCTGCAATCCTGGTTAAGGGCTCTATTCACATAACTTTACTCATTAGTATTATCATTGTGATTACTGCTATTATGATTATTACTGCGTGACCAGTTGTGCTCGTGATCGAGGGAACTACATTACTGGAAATACCCCTCTTAAATTTTAACTCCAATCAGGCCTTCAAAACTCCCACTTTTTGCCTCGGCACTGAACACCTGAATTTGTCAGTAGAAACATCTGGGTAGATTTTCCTTCAGTGTATCTCCTTGCTCTAGGCCTGTGATCACTGAGCCACCTCACAGCAGTTCCTGATTCTAACCCTAAAGGCACGATGACCTCAGAGAACAACTTTTCTCTAGTAGCTGACTGTGGAACCCTCCATTTCCCATTCCCCAGGTTCTCCTACCTTCCATTTGCTCCTGTTTGTCCTTATGCACCACTATTTTTAACTCCCCACAAGAGACACTCCTCTTTAGCCCAACCATCTGGAAGCTTGTGGACCTACCACACAGGGCTTTATCCTATTGCAATTCTCCATTCACACACAATCACAGCCTAACCCGATGAGGATTCTTCATGTTAAAACAATGTTTAGAGGGGCTGGAGAGATGGCTCAGAGGTTAAGAGCACTGGCTGCTCTTCCAGAGGGCCTGAGTTCAATTCCCAGCAACCACAAGGTGGCTCACAGCTATCGATAATGAGATCTGGTGCCCTCTTTTGGAGTGCAGGCATACATGCTGGCAGAACACTGTACACATAATAAATAAAATCTTCAACAACAAAAAAACAATGTTTAGAAACAACCCAAGGCCAATAACAATTATGGTAGGAATCCATCCAAGCCACCTATGCTCAGATCTGTGAATTTCCCTTTCGAGTGAGTCTAGCAATGTCAGAAGGACTTGGAAAACTGGGCATTTGATTCGAGTTACAAGAATCCTTAGGCCAAGGACAGAGGTCATAGAATTTAGAGGAAGCTGAGACTCATGGGAAAAGCAGATACCACTGAAATGAAAGAGACAGGGTACAGAAAACAGGGTGGGGCCGTTCTGAGTTACTGTGGGGACTATCAGCTTTCTGGCTACGCCAAGCCTACAGTGACTCTATTTTGTTAGGTGACAACTCTGCACTGATTTATTCTGAGTACCCATGTCAACAAAACACATAAGGCACAAATTAATAACTTATCTCAATAATGACACCCAAAAATATATCAAATTATAGAAAAGCCCCACCCAAACGAATTCATCAACATATTCAGATGTAGCCCTGCCTGAGACTACAGAAAGTGTTAACTGGCCTATAAAGTGATCACAGGATCAATGCCAAGTGACAAGTCACAGGGAACGACTCTGTCTTTGCTCCAGGACTCCAGATTCTGTGCAGTTTCTCCTGCCACAGACGTCAGCTGGCTTCCAACAGCCTGCGCTCGGGACCTGAGTGTAATGGACATCTCTGAATCCTCGCCGCTAAGTCTTCAGTTCTCTGCCTCCAACTCTCATACCTTCAGCCTCTTCAACCATTTCCTAGACATTCGGTAACCTGCACATGTGTACGCCATTGTGTGAAATGTTCGTGTGTAACCTAACTGCCCAGTGACATTAGTGGTTAAGACTGAGATAAAAGAGTCGTGGTTGCCCATGGCCAGCTCCCAAGGATAATCAGGTGTACTCGTCAGATGATTGCCAAAGAAACCGACAAAGACTGTGAAGTGATTGGCTATCGTGGAAACATAATGATATTCTGCTTCTCTGACAACCTGCACAGAACCCGGGATCACCACACCCCTCCTCACCCTCCACCGCCCACCGCTCCCCTCCGCACCAAGTATCCCCAGGACTCTCCACCTACACCGCCCAGGCTGCAAAGACCCGGGCACCCAGTTGACCCGAGACGCAGCAGCACTGGGTGCTCAGCGAGGGACCGGACCGCGACTCTGCCCGCAGACCCAGCTCCACCCAGCGGGACCAGAGCAGCGTTTGGCTCCTGGAGCAAGAAGCGACTCAGCTGCCCGAGGAGGCCGCGTCCCCAATGTCGCCTCCGCTTGCAGCAGCCTCCTCCTCACGCCCTGCGGCACGCACCATTTCCGGAGACTGGGAGTTCTGATGTCCTCCTGAGACTCTTGCAGTCTGTGGAGAGGACGCAGATACCGAGGGGAGAGATCTGGGGGCCTCAACCAAGACACAGAACGACAATATGGCGGGGCACACAATGGCACCCCAAATGTTGTGCAGCCTCCGTCACCAAAAAGCAAAACTCCTCATTGGACAGTTCACACAGTCACCAAACGTTCTCCCTGATTGGCCAAAAATCCGCGGGCCCGCCTCCTGGACCCTGAGTGACAGGGGAAGCATCTTCTGGCAGGTTAAAGTCATTGATGGAGTCCTGCAGAAGACTTCACAGCCGCCCTGCTTCCTACTCTGGAGAGCATCTGGCCCCACCTGGGAAAAGTGCATTTACAGCGCAGGTTATCCTGGCTTTGCAGATGCTTATTCGGTGGGGGAATTTCTGCCGCTTTTCCCTCAAAGTGAGGATGCCGGGGGTTCTTAGAGAATCTCACATTGTTTCTGGAGACAACTCATGTACTCAGAGAAGACTGCCTAAGGTAGTCCAGAAATCTCGGAAATGGCTTTCTTACAAATAATTTCTCAATCTGTTTTCAAATAATAACTACTAACAAAAGAATGAGATTATTCACCTGGAGGTGTTGGCGCACACTACTCTAATCGCTCCCAGGCAGGCAGGCAGGTGAAATATGAAATATGAATTATGGATTATGAAAAATGAATGGACCATGAATTATGGATTATGAATTATAAAATGTGAAATGTGAAGTATGAGTCATGAATTATGGAAAATAAAATGTGGGTTATGAAATATGAATTATGAATGATAAAATCTGAGTTATGAACTATAGAATATGAATTATGGATTATGAAATATGGATTATGACTATGGACTATGATTTATGGATTGAGTTATGGATCATGAATTATGAAATATGAATTATGAAATGAGTTATTTGTCATGGGATGTGAAATATGAGTCATTAATTATGGAATATGAATTATGGATCATGAAATGTGGATTATGAATTAAGGGTTTATGAATTATAGATTGTGGATTATTAAATATGAAATGTGTGAACTATGAATTATGGAGTATGGATTGTGAAATATTCATTATGAATTCTGGAATATAAAATGTGGATTATGAATTATGGAATGTGAATTATGGATTATGGGTTATGAATTATGGGATATGGATTATTAATTATGAATTATGAAATATGAATTGTGAAATATGAGCTATGGAAGATAAATTATGGATTATGAAATATGGGTTGTGAATTATGAACTATGAACTATGAGTTATGAATTATGGAATATGAAAGATGAAACATGAAATATGAAATATGAATTGTGAAATATAAATTGGGGAATATGAATTATAGAACATGAATTATAGATTATGAATTATGAAATATGGATTTGAAATATTGAATATGTGTTATGATTGAGTTATGAATTATTGAATATGAAATATGGAAATGTTTTATGAATTATGGGATTGAATTATGGAATATGAGTTATGGATCATTTATTATGGATTATGAATTACGGAATCATAATTCTATGACTCAGGCAAACTTGCTATCTCTTAATTTGGTGTTTCTCCTTAGATTTTTATTTTATTAAAAACAAAAACAAAAAATTTTATCTTTTTTTTGTGGATGTGCATGATACTTGTTTGTACTTGTGCATACTCTAGCATGTATGTGGAGGTCAGATGCTGGCTCTGTTAGTATTCAGACATCTGTACTGGCCTGCCCTTGGGGTCCTGTCAGGATATGTCCTCAACTGCAACCACTAAGACCACCTCCTGTGCTTATTCACTACATTCCCTTTTAAAAGGTGGGACACTTTCCCTCTCCCATCTCTCTCTCCCTTTCTCCCTTCCTCTCTGTCTCTTTCCTACACCCCCCCTTCCCCCTTTTCCCATTCCCTTCCCCCAATAAAAACTCTAAACTCTCCACATGAGTTCTGTAGCATGATGCTTTCTCTCCCCCCCCCTCTCTCTTTCTCTCTCAACATTTTTTTAAACAACACTCTCCTTCCACCTTCATGTGAGTTCCAGAGACCAAAGTCAAGTCATCAGACTTTATACCAATTGCTTTACCCTCTGAGCTTTTCATCAGACCCTTTGGTGCTTTAAAAAAATTTTTTTTTAAAAAAAAATAGAGTTCACTTAGAAAGCCCAGAGATAGAAAGGTTTTGTTTTTTTTTTTTCTCTAGTTTTTATTTAATGTGCATTGGTATTTTGCCTGTGCTTGAGTGTCCTGGAACTCGTTTTATACACTAGGCTGAGTTGGAACTCACAGAGATCCATCTGTCTCCACCTCCCCAGTATTGGGCTTAAAGGTGTGCCACCACCGCCCAGCTTTTTGTTATTATTATTTTTTTTTTAAACACTGAGTGTGTGCATGTAGGTTTGTGCATTAAGTACAGGAGGCCAGAGGCATCACCTTGCTGGGGACTCTGAGCTGTCCAATGTGGGTTCTGGGAGCTAAATTCAGGACTTCTGCAAGAGCAGCAATCACTTTTCACTGCCAAGGCGTCCCTTATCCCTCCTCACCCCATTTGTTTTGGAACACCCTCTGTAGAGCAGATTGGCCTTGATCTCCTCTGCCTCCCAACTGCTATGTTTAAAGGTGTGAGGTACTACACCCTGTCTCATTTGGGTTTTTGTTTGTTTGTTTTAATTCTGTTTTGGATCTTCTTTTCAATGACCGGACTCACAAAGGTAAACCTTACAGATAGGAGATTGGCAAACAATATATTGTAGGATACATGCCACAAGAAAAATGTCATGACATAATACATGGAGACACATCTACACAGAGAAAATTAGATTCCTCCAGCCCATTACAGAAAAACAAAAACAAACAAACAAACAAACAAACAAACCAAACACATACAGCAAACTCCCTCCAGACAGCACAGAGGGTACCCTCTGATCTCTCCGGGTTTCTTTGATTCCTGAAGCAGCAGTAAGGTTCCCCAAACTATGCAAGATGCAGAAGCCTTCCATTTCCCTCCATGACCTTTCTGAAGCAATAAAATAAAACAAAATCTACAGGACTTAAATGCTCAGAGTCGTTAGAACAGAAAGAGATGATCTGTCTGTCTCCAGTCTCTGGCAGCAGGGATGGAGAAGATGGGATCACAACCCACAGCCGCAGCCCCAATAAACAGGGCAAGACAATGGAATTAAAATCCACCATGCCAGTGGCTTGCATAAAAAGGAGTCCCGAGTCTTCAGCTTCTCCTTGCTGGGAACCTAAGCTACAAACCGGCATTTCTCTTCATCTTTCTTAACCTGGAATGTGTTTATGAAAACTTCTACTTTCCATTCCTCTCTCCAACATGCCAGGCAGTTGCACACACCGGACAATCAAATGTTCGACTGAACTCAGGCGGCGGATGCTTGGAGCTTGCTTGTGGTTTTCTGCGCCTGCCTCTGTGTTGGGGGTGGGGGTGGAGTGGGGGGGGCATCATAGTCTTTTGATGACTGCTCTCTGTTTGTGTGGCCAGTGCTTGTTCGCTCCTGCCACCTGCAGGCGCCTGTGGTCCCTTCCCCACTCCAGAGACAAGTGCCTCTATCCTTTAGCAGAACCGGAAGTGGGGGGTGGGAGTAGCGGGGCGGTGACTTGTGGCCAGCGTTTGCAGGCGGCGCCTGCAGCTTCCAGTGGTTACTACACTCTTTACGGTCAGAGTCTGGACCACTAATCCTCGGTAGGCCCGTTAAAGAGACAGGTAATAGTGAAAAGCAGAAAAAGGAGATTTTTTCCCCCTCAGCGTTACTATGAAGACTGAAACATCAATATTAACATAAAAAAGCATCTAGTTGGCAGAGAAAAGAGTGAAATTCCTTCCTCCACCTAGGCAACGTACAAACAATGGAACATGCACAGGACAGTTTGCAGAGAAAGACTGTGTCCTATTTAGCGTTGTCAACTCTTTACAGCCTAGGGTCATCTGTGAGGAAAGCCTCCACTGAGGAGTTGTCTACATCAGACTGGCCTGTGGGTAGGTAGACTTGGAGTCTTGATTATTAATTTATAGAGGAGTGACTGGTCCATATCCTGGGCTGTATAAAGCCAGGCAGTGGTGGCACATGCCTTCAATCTCAGCGCCCAGGAGGATCTCTGTGAGTTTGAGGTCAGATCTCTAGACAGCGAAACAGTGAACAAAGAAATTGTAGGCAAATGCTCAGAAAAAGAGGAAGGGAAAATTCTGCCCAGGAGAGGACATGGATCATTTACAGGAGGTGGGAGAAGTTACCTGCTTTGCCTCACGTGGTCCATGATACCTCTGTAAGGACTCAGGCATTATGCTGGACTGCCCCTGTCACCTGGCAGAATGCACTCAGGCAGTATCCTGGTCAGCCCAGGGTTCCATGATTGCATAGTCTGCATGCAGGTGCAAAGGACCCCTTTAAAAGACAGACACCCCACACACACTTATGCCCTCTTTCCCCCTATCTTTTCCGCTGTTCCCCTGGGGCAGACAGGACTAACAACGTCCCAATACTTGACTAGAGCAAAAGAAAGGGGCCTAGCCCTGAGGGAATAAATTTACAATGACACTTCTTTCCCCTCAGAATGTGAACTGAGGTAAGGGCTGTAGGAGCGAGGCACTAATTGCTTATAAGATATCATGGCACACACCTTTGATCCCAGAGCTTGGGAGGCAGAGACAAAAAAACAACGACCACACAACAAAAAGTTATCACCAACTAACTGCTGGATCAGCCTCCAAGCCCTTAGGACCTGTCTGCTGCCAAAAGGGAAAAATTGTTGCTTGGCCTTTTAAATCTTGGAACTTTTTATCTCTGTGTAAGTGTCCGTGTGTAGAACGTGAGTGGGAAGTAGGGACACAGGAAACTGGGGTACAGATGTGACCAAAGTAGTGGCTATTGGGGTGGTGGTATTTTCTGGACAGTGTTTTGATTTGAAATGCTCAGTTTCTGTGAAGGCCGGGCATAGGTGAAGTCTTCAGCAGTGTGGGTCTTGTGGAGAAAGGGTTTCTGGATCCTGAGTTTAGGTGAGAATGTTTAAAGGGAACCCCCACCCCAACCAGGGCCATTTGATAGGCCCAAGGCTTCAAGAAATGTGCTGCCCATGGAGTTCCTGGGAAGCAACCAGCCTGCAAGATGTACCTGGAGCCGGGAGGTTCAAAA